CTTCTTCTTCTTCTTCTTCTTCTCCTCCTCCTCCTCCTCTTCCTCCTCCTCCTCCTTCCTCCTCCTCCTCCTCCTCCTCCTCCTCCTCTCCTCCTCCTCCTCCTCCTCCTCCTCCTCCTCCTCCTCCTCCTCCTCCTCCTCCTCCTCCTCCTCCTTCTTGTCATCATCCTAAGAGTCTTGGTGGCGCAGCGGACTAAAGTGCTGTTAAAGTAGCACTTAGCTGCCAGCTGCCTGCAATTACTGAAAGTTCAAATCTCACCAGGCTCAAGGTTGACTCAGCCTTCCATCCTTCCGAGGTAGGTAAAATGAGGACCCGGATTGTGGGGGCAATAAGCTGACTTTGTATAAAAAAAGAACACCGCTTAGGGGGCTCCAAAAGCCCTACTAAGCAGGTATATACAAAAGTATGAAGGCTATTGCTTAATGCATTTTTTTTATTTATTTTTTATTTTTATTTATTTTTTAATTTGATTTATATGCCGCCCTTCTCCGGAGACTCAGGGCGGCTTACAATGTGCTCAGCATTGTAAGCCGCCCTGAGTCTCCGGAGAAGGGCGGCATATAAATCGAACCAATAAATAAATAAATAAATTCTTGTCGGGAGCGGCTGCAAACCAGTTCCGTTCGGGCGCTAGAACAATGAATTAATTAAAGCAGGCCATTTTTGCAAAATAATTTAAAGCGTTTTGGGCATCGCCTAGCAAGGTTTGCTGAACTTCCGTGACGGCAGCCTTAGAATTTAATGCGTCCGTCAACCCAGCCAAAAAAAGAAGAAGAAGAAGGGGGGGGGGGGGGGGGGAAGGAAAAAAAGGCTTGCTTTCTTATAATTTATTTATTTTTTTTAAGTCAAATGTCACTGCGATCAGGAGTCAAGAAAGCATGAACCGGCTCTGCAAACATTACTGGAAACCCATCTGAGCGTGCAAAAACATTTTCGGCGTATTGACGGAAAACTGACACTAATTCCTTTAGAGGAAGAAATTGAAAAGAAAACGGATCCTATCCCGAACTCTGTGACTGGTAAATGGGATTTTAAGAGAAATGGGACTATTCATGGTATATTAAACAGCCTTTTTTCCCCCTTGAAGTAGGCTGTGTTTACCGTTACCGATATATTTTTGGCAGGGGGCACGCATGTCACCTCTAAAAGCAAAGGGTGGGGGGAAGAAAATTAATAAGCATTTTAAACTGCAGGTAGTCCTTGACTTACGACCCACAGCTTAGGCCAACATTTCCGCTGCTAAGCGAGACAGTTGTTAAGTGAGTTTTGCCCCATTTGACAATCTTTCTGGACACAGCTGTTAAGTCATTCTCAGTGGAGAAGAAAAGAAAAGAAGAAAAGAGAAGAAAGAAGAGAAAAGAGAAGAGAAGAGAAGAGAAGAAAAGAAAAGAAAAGAAAAAGAAAGAAAGAAAGAAAAGAGAAAGAAAAGGGAAGGAAGGGAAGGGAAGGACAGGAAGGAAGGAAAAGAAGGGAAGGGAAAGAAGGGAAGAGGAGAAGAGAAGAGAAGAGAAAAAAGAGGAGAGGAGAGAGGAGAGAAGAGTTAGAATTAGAATTAGAATTAATTAGAATTAGAATTAGAATTAGAATTAGAATTAGGAACAGAGCAGAGCTGGAAGGGACATTGGAGGTCTTCTAGTCCAGCCCCATGCTCAAGGAGAACCTATCACGTTTCAGATAAATGACTGTGAAATCTTGGTTCCCCATCGCAAAAAGTGATCACACGACCTCGGGATACTGCAACCGTCATAAATATGAGTCGGTCATCAAGCGTCTGACTTTTGATCCCGCGGGGATGCTGAAACGGCCATAAGTGTGAAAAACGGTCGTGAGTCACCTTTTTCAATGCCGTCGTAACCTCGAACAGTCGCTAAGCGAACGGTTGGAAGTCAAGGAGTACCTGTATTACTATCTCATTCCTATAAAAAGTCGGAAGTCAACGTTTTTCTTTCTTTTTTTTTTCCTCCTCTCCTTTTCCGGACCCTTCCTTCCCTTCTTTTTTTTCCCCCCCCCCTCCCTCCTTTTCTCACTATTTCTTTTGCGTTTTAGATCTTGATAAACTTTAAAAAGCCAAAAGAATTTCCAACGAAATAGTGCCCCAGCCGCTTCGTGAAAGGACTTCAGATCCGACAGATATATATATATATATATTATACAATATATATATAAAAGTTCAGAGAAATCAGTTTTATTTTTCTGCCTTTAACACAACACTGCGAAGGACGTTGCCATCCCCAGGGCTGATTTGTGATGCTGTTGTTGAGTCAGATTTGACTCTGTTTTCCACTGTTTGGGAATAAATTAGGGAGGTTCTTAAACTTGGGTGTGTGTGTGTATGTCTGGTGTTCCAATCCTACAGAGAAAATCTACCTAACTAATGATTTACCTCTGAGCCAATTAAGGTAGGTTAGCTTTGGAGGGTCACTCTCTCGGTTTAATGTCCCGCGTAATATTTTTTTTCTCTAACCTAAACGTCCTCCCAATCCTTGTTTGATGTCTTAAGATCTCGTCTTTTCCTCTTCAACCTACTTTACAAGAGCAATAACATCAGTGTCTTTTTCTCAAGAACGAAACGCACTTGGAATTCGGGGTCTTCGTGGCATATTTCATTGCGACGTTCGTTGACGGTACGTTAGGCCAAGTTTCTCAGCTCTGGGCGACCGTTCTCATCCTTGTTACATGTTGGCTGAAGATGGTTTGATGCAGTTTGACGCATCTTGAGGTTATGCCACGCTGGACCAACGAATCAATGAATTTTTCATAAAAGTGCTGAAAAGTATTTTTCAGGCACATTAGAACCAGTCTAATAATCTAGTTCGTCTAGAGAAAATAAGGAAATAGGGGTGACATGATAGCAGCCTTCCAGTATTTGAGGGGCTGCCCCAAAGAAGAGGGGGTCAAATTATTCTCCAATGCACCGGAAGGCAGGACAAGAAACAATGGTTGGAAACTGATCAAAGAGAGAAGCAACCTGGAATTAAGGAGAAACTTAAGTTTCTTAAGAGGACCAGTGGAACAGCTTGCCACCAGAAGTTGAGGGTGCGCCATCCCTGGAGGTTTTTAAGAAGAACTTGGGCAACCATTTGTCAGGAATGGTATAGGGTTTCCTGCCTGAGCAAGGGGTTGGACTAGAAGACCTCCAAGGTCCCGTCCATCTCTGTTATTCTGTAATTCTATGAACTCTTTGAAACCGCTTGCAGTACAATTGGCCACATATGTATTTTAAAAAGCATCGCCGGAATACGTGCTTTTGAATCACCGCGCGTTGCTGCCAAAGATCCTGGTTGCGTTCCAAGTCACACCGCGCTCTGTGCCGCTTTTTAACACTTTTGTTGTTTTAATTAAGAAATAAAAAATAAAAATAAAAAATTGCCGGAGATGGACAGGAAGAGAGCCTTGGGTTCTCCCACGTTTGCCACCGCCGCCTCCTCCTCCTCCTTCTCCTTCCTTTCTTCTTCTTCTTCTTCTTCCTCTTCCTCTTCCTCTTCCTCTTCCTCTTCCTCTTCTCTTCCTCTTCCTCTTCCTCTTCCTCTTCTTCTTCTTCTTCTTCTTCTTCTTCTTCTTCTTTTCTTCTTCTTCTTCTTCTTCTTTCCTCCTCCTCCTCTTCATCCTTCCTTCTTCTTTTCCTCTACTTCTTTTCCTCCTTCTTCCTCTTCCTCTACTTCTTCTCCTCTTCCTCCTTCTTCCTCTTCTTCTTCCTCTTCCTCCTCCTCCATCTCCCTCCTTCCTCTCCTCCTCCTCCTCTTCCCTCCTCCTCCTTTCTTCTTCTTTTCTTCTTCTTCCTCTTCTTCTTCTTCCTCTTCCTCTACTTCTTCTCCTCTTCCTCCTTTTTCCTCTTCTTCTTCTCCTCTTTTCTTCTTCTTCCTCTTCCTCCTTCTCTTCCTCTTTTTCTCCTCCTCCCCTCCTCCTCCTCCATTCTTCTTCTCCTCCTCCTCCTCCTCCTCCTTTTTTCCTCCTCCTCCTCTCCACACATCCTCCTCCTCCTTTCTGATAACAATAAAAAACCATTTGAGTTTATATTGTGGCGGGGTGTTTTGGGAGAGGAGAAGTGCGGCTGAGTTTCATGCGCGTGAGTTTTAAAATGAACAGCATGTATCTTACAACTGCGTGGGGAGAAATGTGCTTTCCACGGCGCCTGGGCTGCTAAACATAACGCTAACACTAGATCGCTGGATGAGATCCAGTTTTCAAAGCAGGTCAGGCTGAGAACGGAGCCATCTGTCCCGTGTTAAAAACTCAAAACCACCAGTGGCAGGGAAGGTGTCGGTTGCCTGCAATCAATTTATGGATGCAGAGACTGCTGCCTTGTGCGGCGTTCACACACGCTTTGGGCCCGTGAAGGAAGGATGGGGAATGGGGCATTTCTGCAGAAGTGCCTCGGTAAGGCCACGCGTGGGATACTGTAACGCAGTTATGGTTCTCATGATATAAAGAAGGTGTTGAGGCTCTAGAAAGAGTGAAGAGAAGAGCAACCAAGACAGATAGGGGCTAACTAAAGCATGCAAAAAATGGTTGCAGGAATTGGGGATGCCTGAGCAGGGGGTTGGACTAGAAGACCTCTAAGGTCCCTTCCAACTTTGTTATCTTATTCCTATTCCTTTCTCTACTCTACTCTACTCTACTCTACTCTACTCTACTCTACTCTATCCCATCCCATCCCATCCCATCCCATCCCATATTCCATTCCATTCCACTCCACTCCACTCCACTCCACTCCACTCCACTCCACTCCACTCCACTCTACTCTACTCTTATTCTATTCTATTCTATTCTCTACTCTACTCTACTCTACTCTACTCTACTCTACTCTACTCTACTCTACTCTCTAATTCACTCTACTCTATCCCATCCCATCCCATATTCCGTTCCGTTCCGTTCTGTTCTGTTCTATTTTCTATTCTATCCCATCCTATTCTATCCCATTCCACATTCCCTTCTATTCTATTCTACTTCTAACTTTTTTCTTTTATGTGTAATGCAAATGTGTGTGTTGCTTTTGTAGCTACGTAGATGACGTGATCAATCGCATTGACCGAATGTTTCCGGAGATGTCTATTCACCTGTCACGGCCCAACGGGACTTCTGCCATGTTGCTGGTGAGTTAAAACTTCATTGTTGTTGTTGTTCTTATTGTTATTGCTGCTTCTGCTGTTGTTGTTTATAAAGCTTTGCAGCCTGCGGACATTATTGAAAATATTGCTTCAAAATGTGCGGGGCGCCCTATCCATTGCTGAGAAATTATATTTCTGACGCACCTCGCAAATGCATCAGAACAATATATGGTATTTATCTAAACTAATAACAGATTAGTTATTAATCTGTTAATAACAGATTAACAGATCTCTACTCTACTCTACTCTACTCTACTCTACTCTACTCTACTCCATCCCATCCCATCCCATCCCATCCCATCCCATCCCATCTTCCATTCCATTCCATTCCATTCCATTCCATTCCATTCCATTCCATACTCTACTCTACTCTACTCTACTCTACTCTACTCTACTCTACTCTACTCTACTCTTATTCTATTCTTATTCTATACTCTACTCTACTCTACTCTACTCTACTCTACTCTACTCTACTCCATTCTACTCTTGGCCTTATTTTTGGAGGGGGCGTCTTATTGTTTTGGGGTGCATGGAGCAAGATGGGACCCCTCTTGCTGTTTTACCTGATTTCCAGATCTGCATTTAAATATTTTCAGGGAGGGCTTATATTCGGGGGGGGGATTATTTTAGCGCATGCGCTCAGAAGCTCAATTGGACTTATTATCAGGGGATGTCTTATTTTCAGGGAAACAGGGTGTATATATATATATATATATATATATATATATATATATATATATATATTATATATATATAAATAATAAATAACAATACAGGTAGTCCTCGACTTACGACGACAATTGAGGCCCAAAATTTCTGCAGTCAAGCGGGACATTTGTTAAGTGAGTTTCGCTCCGTTTTACGACCTTTCCTGACACCGTTGTTCAATGAATCCCTGCAGCGGTTAAGTCAGTAACGTGATTGTTAAGTGAACCTGGCTTCCCTCAACGGTTTTGCTTCTCGGAAGGTCGGAAAAAATAGTCGCGTAATCCGAAGGCAATGTAACCGTCATAAGTACGAGCCAGTTGCCAAGCATCTGAATTTTTGATCACACGATCCCAGGGATTGTGTGATGGTCGTAAGTGTGAACAATGGTCATAACGTAAGTCACCTTTTTTTTGTATCTTTGAATGGTCATCAAACCTGTTGCAAGCCGAGGACTCATTTTCGAAAGAAATGAAATAATAAACAATGTTTAATCAAACAAAAATGCCTATTTAGGTCTATTTCTTTTCATCTCAAGGCTGTTTCCAGGAATGTTTGCAACGGGTGATGTCTAGACTGCCTTGAAGTCCATTTTTTTCCTCTCTCTCAATATATGTGAAAAAAGCTGAAAACTTACAGTAATTCTCACATTTCCCAAATCTCATTGATGCAAAGATTTCTCTTGTGTTTTAAAAACAAAAGAGATTTCTTTTTTTTTTTTTCCTTTCTCAAGAAAACTATTGGCAGGTTACTATCTCAGGGAGAAGTTACATCATAGAAATCTATTCTAGTTTAAAGTAACCTTTAGATAAGGAATAATCTGCCGTAACTTTTGTCATATATATTGATTCTGGTTTCCATACGTCTCTTGTAGACTAAGAGGTACATTGGAAAACAGTACAGTTTTTACATGTTTCTGTTTATTTTGATGATTCATTGTGATTCATATAGAATTCTTTATTGGCCAAGTGTGATTGGACACACAAGGAATTTGTCTTTGGTGCATACGCTCTCAGTGTACATAAAAGAAAAAATAAAATATGTTCGTCAAGAATCATAAGATGCAACACTTAGTCATAGGATACTAATGAGCAATCAAATCGTACTAGGAAACAATAAAAGCAATATAAGTTGTAAAGATACAAGCAACATGGATAGAGCCATAAGTGGGAAGAGATAGGTATTAGGAAGGATGAGAGGATTAATAGTAGTGCAGCCTTAGTGAATAGTTTGACAGTGTTGAGGGAATTATTGGTTTAGCAGAGTGATGGCGTTTGGAGAAAAAACTGTCCTTGTGTCTAGTTGTTCTGGTGTCCAGTGCTCTACAGCGTCGTTTTGAGGGTAGGAGTTGAAACAGTTGATGTCCAGGATGCGAGGGGTCTGTAAACATTTTCACAGCCCTTTTTAGTTTATAATATAAAATACAAAAATACAAAAGAAAATAAGGGAGGAAAAAGGGAAGGGAAAAAGTGTAGGGCAAAGGGAAAAAAGAAAGAAAAGGTGTTGATTTCCATCTCCCTTTGGTGCAGTGGAATAAGATAATAATATCAAATCTTCCTTCCTTCCTCCCTCCCTCCCTCCCTCCCTCCCTCTGTTCCTTCCTTCCTTCCTCCCTCCCTTCCTTTCTTCCTTCCTCCCTCCCTTCCTCCCACCCTCCCTCCTCCCTTCCTTTCTTCCTCCCTCCCTCCCTTTGTCCCTCCCTCCCTCCCTCCCTTCCTCCCTCCCTTTCTTCCTCCCTTCCTCTCTCCCTTCCTCCCTCCCTCCCTCCCTCCGTCCCTTCCTTCCTTCCTTCCTTCCTGCCTCCCTCCCTTCCTCCCTACCTCCCTTTCTTCCTCCCTCCCTTCCTTCCTTCTTTCCTCCCTCCCTCCCTTTGTCCCTTCCTCCCTCCCTTTCTTCCTCCCTTCCTCTCTCCCTTCCTCCCTCCCTTTCTTCCTCCCTTCCTCTCTCCCTTCCTCCCTCCCTCCCTCCCTTCCTTCCTCCCTCCCTTTGTCCCTCCCTTCCTTCCTTCCTGCCTGCCTGCCTGCCACCTATTCGTTTTCTGTGACTCTAGGCAGCTTCCAAACAATAAAGAATTGATGTTTATGGTAAGTGATCGTCTCCATGCCATCAACTCTGGGGTTCAAACCAGTAGCGGTATTCACTTCCCTTCGCTACCGATTCGCACATGTGAGCTCGCGCGCGCCACCTCTGCACATGGGCAGAGCGTCAGTGATGACGTCCAGGCGGGTGGGCGGAGCCTCCCGCCACTACCGGTTCACCCGAACCGGGTAGAACCGGCTCAATTCCACCACTGCTTCAAACCGTATAAGAACTGCCTGACCTCCAAATTCACCTTGAAAGGTTGATCGGTTTGAAACGGTCAGAGATCAAACCGAAGCACTTCCACCCGCTCTAGATTCTGCTTGGGCATCTCTTCTGCCCTTGCTCTGCTTTCTCTCCCGTCCTTGGATTTCATTCTCGGTTAATTATGTATTTTGCTTTGTCTTTTATTTATAAGATACTGTTTATCGAAGGGTAGCGTATAAATTCTTAACTTAAACCGAATGTGACCTGACTTCCAATGTTCCCTCACTCCGGGGCTACATAAATAGAAGTATTTGCAATGTGATTTGGTTATTTTTCCCCTCCCCACCGAAGGTTGTATTGAAAGAAACTTGCACTTTTACAAGAGCTAAAAATGACAAGCTGTAAAAAAAATTTCCTTGAAGAGATTTCTTAAACTTGCAGAAGCGGAATGATGGGGACTTTTAGCCCAAATTCACCAGAAAGAGCATAAATTGCCCCGTCTCGAAGAGAGTTTCAGCCAACTCAGGAACCCACCACAAATTTAAAACTGAATTTTCTATAGCTGCCTATTAACCTTTTCCTTCCTGATAATTTGCTGAATCACCACTCACTCGTACAGTACAATGTACAGTTAGTGCCTGTTTGAAGTTACACCGGCACTGGAAAAAATGGCTGTTTTTCATACTTACGTCTATGGCAGCAGCCCCCCCCCCGTGATCACGAGATTAAAAAGCCGACTGGGTGACTTTGGGCCAATCACCAGGAGACTGGGAGTTCTAGTTCCACTTTAGGCATGAAAACCGACTGGTTGACTTTGGGTCATATCACCAGGAGACTGGGAGTTCTAGTTCCATCTTAGGCATGAAAGCCGACTGGTTGACTTTGGGCCAATCATCAGGAGACTGGGAGTTCTAGTTCCAGTTTAGGCATGAAAGCCAACTGGTTGACTTTGGCCAATCACCAGGAGACTGGATGTTCTAGTTCCACCTTTGGCATGAAAGTCAACTGGGTGACTTTGGGCCAATCACCAGGAGACGATGAATTCTAATCCCGCCTTAAGCATGAAAGCCGACTGGTTGACTTTGGCCAATCACCAGGAGACTGGAAGTTCTAGTTCCACCTTAGGCATGAAAGACAACTGGTTGACTTTAGGTCATATCACCAGGAAACTGGGAGTTCTAGTCCCGCCTTAGCCATGAAAGGCAACTGGATGACCTTGGGCCAGTCTCTCTCTCTCAGTCCAGCCTACCTCACAGGGTTGTTGTGGGGGTAAATAGGTGGAAGAAGGTACGTCAGGTGCGTTTGCCCCTGTGAGTTGTTTGCCAGCTTGCCTTCCTGCCTGGCATTATGATCTGCAGCCGAATGCCAAGGGGGAATGGCCACGTGAGAAGGTGGTCTCATCACCTGGTTTTTTTAATATCAAGGAAATCACTCCGAGCTCTTGATTGATGTTGACTTTCCAGCAGGCAATTAAGACAGATTAATGAAAGGTAAATTCCAACCTCTCCATATTTCTCCCTCCCCTCCCGTCCCCCCACCCCCCAAAAAAAAGAGGGAAGAAAGAAATCCCTTGTAGAAGGGCCTAATTAGCCTGTTTGTTTGTTTAGCCGCTAATGGCTTAATTGCAGCCTATCCTGCTATTTACAAATAGGCGTCATTAGAAGAGAGCGGGTTGGCTTGATCTAACGGATAGTGTAAAGCTGGTCACGGCAGCTGAGGAAGGAGGAGGGAGAATGATTAGAAAAATAACTAGGAAGAAAGAGGATTAGCTTTTTATTCCAGCTGTTGATTGCCCAAATAGGATTTTCAGCCAATTAAGAGGACATAGCAAATACAACTCTAGCCGCCGTTAAAACATTCACAATTAAATATCTCAGTTCTTTATTATATGTTTCTGGTCAAAGTCGACGTGTTTCTTTGTCATTTTTGTATTTGCTAAAAATTGGAAAAAAAGGAGAGAATGCCTACGGAAGATGAAGTTATCAAGAAAGTTA